GTGGTTTCCTTGTGATGGTTATCCATTTTTCCTTGGATATCATTGAGCTTACTTATAATCCATGTTTGGAATTCTTCTTCTGTCATTTTAGTATTCTGGGTCTGGTTAGTGTTCATTGCTAGAGAGCAGGTGTTCCTCTTTGGGGGTGTGCTTTCCATTTGATTTTTCACACTGCCAGAAATCTTTCGCTGGGTCCTTCCCATCTGGATCCGCTGTTACTTTTGTTTTGTTCTGCCGCTAGAGGGAGCCGCTAGTATGTTGTCCACGGCTCTCTTGATGGGAGGAGTTACTTGGGGAGCTTGTTTTGGTCCCTTGCTGGGCTTTCTCTGTTGGTAGCTGACCGGAGGCAGAAATACAATGGTACCCGGTGACCTGAAGCAGTCTGGCGAGGAAAGTCACTGGGCTGTCAGCTATTGGTCAGTGCCAAATCCCCAGGGACTGGCACTTGTCGCAGAGGGGGAGTGGCTCTTTATGTCTCTCTGCTGCAGACTCGGAGGCCAGGCAGAAGGCACTGGCCAGGGGGAAGGGGCGCTCCACCAGACTGCCCAACGCCCCAGTGCTTTCAGCCTCCGCAGGCGTCCTCCCCCCACAGGCAAGGAGGCACTCAGAATTCAGAGGAGGCACTCAGCATTCACCGCTCAAAGAAACGGGCCTGGCCAAGTGGCCCCAGGTCCCGGCAGGGCAGAGCTAGCTGCGAGAGTTCCCAGGCTAGGGGAAGGGAGCCGTTCCGCACCCGCGACCTGCCGTGGTCCCCGAGCTGGCTCTCGCCGGCCCCCAGTGCGCTGGCTCCAGAGGGAGCCGCTCACGGGCTGGGAGGTACCAGATCAGGGAGTCAGCCGAGTCACCAGGGTGCTCCACCGTCTGCTTTGTGTCTCCCTCCCCCGATCTCACGCCAGTCCAGCAATAGCTCTCGCTTCTACTGGCCCACCCTGAGCAATCCCAGTCGCCTGTGGCAGTTTCCAGGTTAGAGTCCTCTACTCAGTAATCACCTCCCCGTTCAGGACCCACTGGGTGCCAGAGACCAGCTTCCTGAGTCCTACCTGCCTCCCGCGGTAGCCCAGCCCAGCTCCTCCCCTGTCTGGTGCAGTCCTGACACGGAGCTCCGGGAAGTTCAAGATGCTTCCCGCTCGTGTCTCCTCTCTGCTGAGTCCCACGTTTCCGGACCCAGTTCTACATCCACTTCACACAAGCCCCTGCCTCTCGGTGGGTTTGTAAGTCAGTGGGGGGAGCTGGACTGTCTCGTGAGGGACTTGTCCCCGTGCACTTACTGGCCAGGCTGGCGCGACCGTCTCGCTCTCCACTCTCTATTGTCTGTTGGCGCTTTCCAGGTTTTGTATTCCTATCTCCCGTTCGCTTTATTCTGTTTCCTGATTTGCGTGTCCCCCGCTGAATCTCCACCGATTCACCTCACTGTTTTCGAAGGAGAGTGATCCGATCCTGTGTAGCAGACCGAGATCTACCTCTCCCTCTCTGGAAGCAGGGATTCCGGAGGCTACCCTAACTCCGCCATTTTTTCTTTCCTATATCGCATTTCTTTTTTGGGTTCTTATTATTAAGTGTATTTATTTTATGATTGTTATTACTTCTTGATGATTATTGCTTTTATCATTATAAAGATTTATCATTATCATTATAAAGATTTAAAAAACTATAAAGATTTAAAAAATCTCTAGTAAATATTTTAAAAGTCTATTTCATCTGATGTTAGTATTTTCATTCAAGCTTTCTTATGGTTGCTGTTTGCATGATACATCTTTTTCTTTTACTTTCAAGTTATTTATATCTTTGAATATAAAGTTTGTTTTCTGTAGACAGTTTATCATTCGATATTGGGATTTATTTCCATCTTACAATCTCTGCATATCGATTAAATTATTTGACTCATTCACATTTAATGTAACTATTGATATATTTGGACTTATGTCTACTATTTTACTTTTTGTTTTCTATATGTCTTGTGTCTTTTTTTGGCTCCCTATTCCTCATTTTTTTATTGTTGTTGTTGAGATGGAGTCTCGCTCTGTCACCTGGGCTAGTGTCGTGGTGTCAGCCTAGCGCACAGCAACCTCAAACTTCTGAGCTCAAGTGATTCTCCTGCCTCACCCTCCTGAGTAGTTGGGACTACAGGCATGTCCCACCACGCCTGGCTAACTTTTCTATTTTTAGTAGAGCTGGGGTCTTGCTCTTGCTCAGGCTGATCTCAAACTCCTGACCTCAAGTGATCCTCCCATCTCAGTCTCCCAGAGTGCTAGGATTACAGGAGTGAGTCACTGTGCTCGGCCTTGCTATTTGTTTTTGTTTTGGGCATTAAGTGAATATTTTCTGGTATAACATTTTAATTCCTTTAGTGATTTGTTTCATTACATTTTTTTGAGTTTCTTATTTTCTTAGTAGTCCCTCAAAGGCTTACCATATATAGCTTAATTTATGAGAATCAACTTTAAATTTACACTAACTTAATTCTACTGAGATATAGAAATGTTACTACTATCTAGTTCTATTCCCTCTTCTCCTTGATTGTACTATTAAATATTATATAGTCAGCTGTCCTCATCCTGGAGTTCTGCCTTCTCAAATTCAACCAATCACAGATCAAAAATATTTAAATAAATAAATAAATAACAATAAAAAATAATACAAGATTTAAAAATACCGTATAACAACTATTTACATGGCATTTACATTATATTAGGTATTATAAGTAATCTAGAGATTATTTAAAGTATAGTCATTCCTCAGTATCTATATGGAATTGGTTTCAACACCCCTTGCAGATGCCAAAATCCATGAATGCTCAAATCCCTTACATAAAATGATGTAGTATTTGCATATAATCTACACACATCCTCCCATATACAGTCATGTATTGCTTAACAACTGAGAAATGCATTGTCAGCAATTTTGTAGTTGTGTGAACATCATAGAATACACTTACACAAACCTAGATGGTATAGCCTATTCCTCCTAGGCTACAAACCTATACATCATGTTACTGTCTTGAACAATGTAAGAAAACACAATGGTAATTGTGCAATAGGAATTTTTTTTAGCTCCATTACAATCTTATGGAGCCATATTGTATATGCAGTCCTTTGTTGACTCAAACATCGTTATTCAGTGCATGACCATACTTTAAATCATCTCTAAATTACTCAGTGCATCTCTGTACTTTAAATCATCTCTTATAATACTTAATACAATGTAAATTCCATGTAAGTAGTTGTCCTCTTATATTTTTTAGGGAATAGTGACAAGAAAAAAAGTCTGTACATATTCAGTACAGATGCAACCATCCATCTTTTTTTTTTTTTTTAATAGTTTTGATCTGCAGTTGGTTGAATTCATGGATGTGAAAACCACAGATATAAAGGGTTGAACAAGTATGGGAAGACTGTGTAAGTTAAGGACTTGAGCATCCGCAGATTTTGGTATCCACAGGAAGTTCTGGAACCAATCCCCTGTGGATACTGACATATATATTTGTAATGTTTGTGATATAAACCTTTTTTTCTTTCTTTTTTTTTTTTTTTTACTATTTCTGATTCTCTTCATTTGTTTCTGTGGCTTTGAGTTAACATCTGGTGTTGAGTCTTTAGCCCAGTACAGCTTTGTTCCCACCCATTTCCTTTGTGTTGTTAATAAGAAATATATTACATTTCTACATATTTAATATTATTGGCCCAACAGTGCATTTATATACATATTGTTTTATACGAGTTCTTCTTAAACTAGTTAAGAGAAAAAAGGAGAATAAATGTGCATTTATATTTTTATAATTATATAATTACCTTTACCAGTGTTCTTTGTTTTTTATGTGGATTTGAATTATTGTTGGGGATCATTTGCCTTTAGCCCAAAGAACTTCCTTTAGTATTTCTTGTGAGGTATATTTGCTTAGCACCAAATTTTCTCCATTAAAAAAAAAATCTGGGGAGTTTTCATCTTGAAGGCTCTCATGTATACACATTAAATGAAATAAATTTGTATGTCTTTTTCTCTAATTAATCTGCCCCATGTCAGTGATTTGTCAGCAAACCTTAGTGGGACAAGAGCCTGTAGTTCCAGCTACCCGACAGACTGAGGCAGGAGGGTTGCTTGAGTCCAGGAGTTTGAGGTTGCAGTGAGAGATGGCACCACCATATTCTAGCCTGGGCAACAGAGCAAGACCCTGTCTTAAAAAAAAAAAGAAAGAAAAAAGAAAAAAAGATTGGGATTTGGAGTCAAAAGCTAAGGGTTTAACTAAAGAGATGTAATGTTAGACATTAATATTAGGGGAAGCTGGGTGAAGGGTGTATGAGAACTCCATCTTTGAAACTTTTTTATAAGTCTAAAATTTCCAAAATAAAAGGGTTACTAAAAATGAAAGTTCAGAGTTTAAGCCTTGGCTCTGATGCTTGGATTTTCTATGCCTTAGAATCCTCATTTGTAAAAAGGGGTAATGATAACGACCCCCACTTCCCTGTGTAGTTGCAGGGAGGGCCAACCCTGGTTAAGTAACAGACACACTCAGCAAACAGTGAAGTACCCAGCCAATGCTGATCGCTATTCCAAGGGAGAGTCTCATAGGTGTCAGAGGGAAGCAATAAGGCAGAAAAGGTGTTTACAGTGTAGGCACTGATTAATGAGCAACACCAAGACCCATTTATTATAAGACATCAGTGGAGCTCTATGTTATCTTTAGGAATTTAAACACAGATACCAGATCTTTCAGGCATGTTGGTTCTAGCAGTACCATTCATTACATTATTAGGAGGGCTTAGCAGCCATCTCAAAGAGAATAAATAAGAGGGACAGGGCGTAAGAATAGGAAAGGGGTAAACGTACAAAAGGGAATGCAGCAGCTTCAAAAACCCAAACTTTCCTCTTAGGAAGTCCTTGGACCATAGTCGGTAATTGTTTCAAACACGTTTAATGGAGACAGGAAGAAAGAGGCATTTTCTAGCCTTACCCTACCCCACATGACTTGGCCAGTGATCTGGAAAACTTGGTCATAGCAAAGACTAGACTAGCTCAGTCACTGTATGGATCTTCTGATGGTGGATGAGGTTGCAGTGGCGATTAAAGCTTTTCCCACATTTAATGCACTGGTGAGGTCGCTTCCCTGTGTGGCTTCTCTGATGCTCAATAAGAAACGAACACTGACTAAAGCTCTTACCGCACTGGCTGCATTGATAGGGCTTTTCTCTCTTGTGGATTCTCTGATGCTGGATAAGACCTGCACTCTGACTGAAGGCCTTCCCACACTCCTTACAGTGGTACTGTTTCTGTAGATTGTGGATTCCTCGGTGATTAAAAAGACCAGAACTCCAACTGAAGGTTTTCCCACACTCATTACATTCATAGGGTCTTTCTCCTGTGTGAATCCTTTGATGTCAAATGAGACCTGAGCTCTGAGCAAAGATCTTCCCACATTCACCACATCTGTGTTGCCCCTCTCCTAAGGGGTTTCCCCACTGTCTCTCTATCAGACCCTTACATTCACCAGCTTCTCCATGTTGGGGATCCTGGTTTGATACCTCCAAGGTCTGTTTATGAAATATTTTCCCATGTTGTTCTACTATCTTAGGACAGTCTTTCCTTAGCACCAACTCTCTTTCCTCAGTCTTGGTCATTTCATCTGAAACAAAAAAAGACTAGGTAAATGTCACTTGTTCCCTGGGCCTGTGGGAAGGTGACTGTGTCTACAAAAATTTATCATAGAATAGGAAGGGGGTTAGAAACAGAAGGGATAGTATGGTAACACCTTCCCTAAGTAATGAGGGAAGTTTGCCCTCTTTGACAAAATGTGGCTCAGTCTGTCTCTATGTAGACTTGGGCTGGGAGAATTTTTTATACTTCTTCATAGGCAGGAAAGGGTAAAGATCAGGGTGGCTTCTCTGGAGTTTACTCTCAGAACTCTCTCTCTTTTGAAGTAAGGAACCTCAAAGTCACCCTTTCCAAAAAGTTACTTCACATATTTATTCGTTCATTCATTTCTGAAACAAGTATTAAGCTTCTACTCTTTTAGGTGCTTCAGGCAATACAACAGTCTCCCCTTATCTGTGGTTTTCTGCAGTTTCAGTTACCCATAGTCAACCATCATCCAAAATAGTAAATGATAAAAAAGTTAAAAAGGAATGAAATAATGTCTTTTGTGGCAACTTAGATGGAACTAGAGAACACTGTCCTAAGTGAAGTGTCTCAGGAATGGAAAATCAAACACCACATGTTCTCACTAATAAATGGGAGCTAAATGATGGGTATACAAGGTCATATAGTGGTATAAAGGACATTGGAAATTAAGAAGGGCGAGGGTGGGAGGGGGGTGAGGGATTAAAAACTTACCTATTGGGTACAATGTACTCTACTCTGGTGATGTGCACACTAAAAACCCTGACTTCAGCATTATAAAATTCATACATGTAACAAAAACACTTGTACCCCCTTAATATTTTGAAATAGAAAAAAAATTAAGTGGACAATTCTAGAAATAAATAATTCCTGAGTTTTAAATTATGCAGCATTCTGAGTAGTGTGATGAAATCTTGTGTCATCCAGCTCCGTCCCACCCAAAATGTGAATCCTCCCTTTGTCCAGCATATCTATACTGTATATGCTGCCTGCCCGTTAGTTACTTAGTAGCCATACCAGTTATCAGATTGTCTGTCATGGTATCACAGTGCTTGTCTTCAAGTACCTCTTATTTTGCTTAATAATGGCCCAAAGTGCAAGAGTAGTGATGTTGGCATATTGTTATAATTGTTCTACTTTATTATTGTTGTTATTAATCTCTTCCCATGCCTAATTTGTAAATTAAATTTTATCATAAGTATGTATATGCAAGAAAAAACACAGTATATAAGGTTTGGTATTATCCTAGGTTTCAGGCATCTGTTATTAGAACGTATCTACTGCATATAAGGGGGGACTACTGTACTATGACTTTCAAATCCACAACTATCCAAGGTGCATTTCCACCACAAGCCCTTGCTCTAGCGGCTTTCTCTTCCTGGAAAGCTCTGACCTCAAATAATAATATAACTCACTCTCTCACTTCCTTCAAGTTTTTCCTTAACTCTCACCTTCTCAATAAGGTCTATTTTAATTCTTCTCTTTAATACCACAATCTGTTTGCCTTATCCATAGCACTCTTAATCTCCCTTATCCTGTTCTATTTTTGCTTTATTCCATAGCACTCATCACCTTTTAACATACTATATCATCTCCTTATTTTTATGTTTATTATTGTCTCCCCCTTGCTACAATCTAATCTCCATGAGAACAAGATCTTTCTGCTTTATTTTCTGAGAATCATGCCTGGCACACAGTAGTTACCCAAAAAATATCTGTTGAATGAATGAATGAATAAAAGGGAATAGATTGAATAAAAGGCCAATTCTACTGCCATGGCCTCAACTTATTGACCCAGGGACTGGCACCTGAGGAAAAACTGACCCATAGGATTGGTTTATACTGGAGAGTATCCAGCCAACCACATCAGACTCTTCTGGGGGAAGTCAAAGGTAAAAATGGAGAGGAACAGACCCAAATTTTCTAAACACGAGAGAGCAGCTGCTGTGGTATCCCTAGGATGTCTCATGTTCCCCAGGTGTGACTCCATCTTGCTATCTACAAACCCCCCCCCCAAACAGACCCTGACCTCCTCTTTTGACCCAAACAGCAGTCTCTTTCTCCCACATCTAACTGTATTGTCCCTCACACACCAGAATAGGTACCTCTTAGGACCCCTCTGTTGTTAGGCCATGGTTCTCCTCCTTTTAGCTGGGGGATAACAACTGGTTTTCAAAACAGAAATTTGTTTACAGAGAAGAGATGGGCCACATGGGGATCAGTACTGCTGCCCTTATGCCCAAACTTCATATTAAATCTGAACTATATATGGGAACTGAGTAGAATATAAAAACTAAAACAAAACATTTCCTACCTTTTTTTTTTTTTTTTGAGATAGAAGCTTGCTCTGTCACCTAGGTTGGAGCGCAGCAGCATGATCATAGCTCCCTGTAACCTCAAACTCATGAGTTCAAGCTATCCTCCCACCTCAACCTGTAGCTAGGACTACAGGTATGTACCACCATTCCTAGCTAATTTTTCAATTGTTTTGTAGGGATAGAGTCTCACTATGTTGTCCAGGCTGGTCTCAAACTCTTGGCCTCAAACATCCTCCCACCTTGGCCTCCCAAAGTGATGGGATTACAGATGTGAGTCACCACATCCAGCCTCCACTTTTTAATAATGACTATTTATACAACCTTCATGAATTATAAAGTACTTTTATATATATTATCAAACTGACTCACTACAAAACCACTTGATGTTATTATCTCACCTCTTTAGAGAACTGTGGGGGAAAAAATAGGTATGTGTGTATATATATAAAGACTCTCTATATAGAAAAAGGTCTGGAAAATACACAGCACATTGATAAGAGTAGTTACCCCTAGGAAGTAGGATTCGGAGAACTTTCATTTTTCGCTATATAAACTTATGTATTACTTAGATTTTTTACAATTAGTATGAACTTAAAAAGAAACTCGAACTCTGTTAGTGACCTCTGGGTACTCAACTGTAGCCTCAGTAGACGCTTAATAAATATTTGTTGAATGAATGAATGGATAGATGGATGCATGGGTGGGTAGGTGGATGAACTTAGATATGCTTCCTGGAAAAGGGAGTTCTCAACAGAGTCCTAGATGCACTTTGGAAGATAGAAGAAAGGAGAAAATTGCTGGAGAATGAAAAGTCCAAGTTCATAGGAAGAGAAAGAAGGAACAAAGGAACTGACTGGAAAGATGCTCATAAAGAAGGAAAATAAAACCAGAAGGAATTTTATTCTGATGAGGTCATGGGACAAGAGGAAGGTCTACTGTGTGTATGGAATTTACTCAATGCGTACACTTTAATTTAAATCATGAGATGTGTTCCATGTAAGAGAAATCCATGATAACTATATGATTGCTAGGGCAGACGACATAGAGGCTAGAGGCAGAGAGGCAAGGGAAGTTGTGGCTTTGACACATATAGGGGGTGATGTGAAATTGAAAACAGCAGAGCAAAACCCTGCTGTAGACTGTCAGAAGGTTAACGAAATCAGTAAGAGGCCATGATGTTATGATGTGTGGGAAATTAGGAGCTGGAGCCAATTCTTGCAGGGAGAGCTAGAATGGGAAGTCAGTTGACTCAGCCCAAAGTGCCCAGTACTATATCCACAAGGGTGGCCACTGCCACAACTAAGATTACTAATGAGGAAATGGCAAGATCTGATTCCACTGGATTCTCCCATGTAATCTGCTGCCTACTGATAAGCATATCTCATATCTTTCTACTGTAAGTATGAACCCAAACTGGCATGATTTGTGATACAAGCAGCTACCATGTATTAATCATAATGCATGTCAAGTGCTTTTCATAAACTGTATTTGATGCTCACAAGTTTTGAGGTACATACTTGTTATGGACTAAATAATTGTGTTCTCTCAGAATTTATATGTTCAGGGAACACAGTTTATATGTTTCACCCTCATGTGAAAATATCTGGCGTTAGGGCCTTTAGCGAGGTAATAAAGGTTAAATGAGGTCATAAGGTGAAATTCCAATTTCATAGGACTGGTGTCCTTTTAAGAAGAGGAACAGACACTAGAATGCTCTCTCTCTCTCTCTCTGTACATACAGAGAGGAAAGGCCATGTGAGGACGGAGGAAGACGACGGCTGTCTACAAGACAGGAATAGAGGCCTCACCGAAAACCAAACCTGATGGCACCTTAATCTTGGACTTCCAGCCTTCAGAAATGTGAGGAAATAAATTTCTGTTCTTAAAGCCACCCAGTCTGTGGTATTCTATTATGATAGCTCAAGTAGACAAAGACAATACTATTATCAACCCCATTCTATAGATGAGGGAACTGAGGTCAAGTGGTCAGTAACTTGCCCAATACAAGCAGTTTCCACAAGGTGAGGCCATGATCTGAACCTATAAACCTTGAAGCCCATTCTCTAAAACTATATGCCACGGTGATTCCTGAAAGCCTTCGTAATGTAGCATGAGCCAGAAGTCCTGAGGGCTTCTAGGATGGTATTCAAGGGCATACTGCATGTAGGGGGAGGGGACAAAAATGAGCACACTAGGCACTCAAAAGCACTGAGCATTGCTGCTATCTGGTAAGGAGTCTTTGGATCACCTGTTGCCCCAACTCTGCATTTTTTGTTTGTTTTTGCTTGACTAGGTGAGATATGTTCGACATCATATAAAACCTGACCCTCACCTGTCTCTCCAATAGGATGGGCTTCCTGAGCATGGTCACATGTGAGCTGGAGTTCCTTAGGCTGGAACTGAAGGCTCAATGATGTCTGCTCTCCTAGAGGCACTATGTCTTTAGAGAGGACTTCTTGTCTGTGTCTGTGACCTACCATCTGGGGACAAAGAGACAAGATTTGACTTCTGAAAAATTAACTGTCTGAAGAAACAATTCCCAGAAAGAAGAAAGCAAGAAGGAGGGTATTTTATTACAACATCAAGGGGATACAAAGCAGAGGAAACAAGGGTCCTTGGTGTACCACATATACATCTTTGCCTAACAAATCTCGCTTCCTACCTCATGTTGTGGTTCATCAAGCTCTCTCTCCAGATCCTCCAGCAAAATCACAGCCTCTTACCCACTCTGTGGACAATGTTCCCTCACCCAGCCCTGGAGCTCCTTGGGCAGGGTGGACAGGAACTGCTCCAGTACCAGCAGATCCAAAATCTACTCCTTTGTGCTCACATGTGGCCTCAACCACTGGTAGCAAAGTTCCTGCAGTCGAGTAAGAGCCTTTCTTGGTCCAGGGGTCTCCTGGTAGCAGAGTTGCTGAAAGTGCCTACAAAAGATTTCCTTTGCCAGTGGATTATTTAGTTTTAGTCTGTATTCCTGCTTTTGAAGGTGACTTTCCGCCTCCACTTTCTTTGTCAGACACTCTTCCCATACCTTGGGAACATGCATGTCCAGGGATAAAACTTCCTTTAAGTCCATATTCATCTTGACCTTGAATAGCTTTAAAGGTACCCTCTAGTTGGAGCTATGTTTTAAGACACACACTTGGAGGCTCCTGCCTAAGCAGTAAAAATAATTATTTATAAAGAAAAATGGTAATAGCTGATGACAGAAACTGATAATGTAAGAAACTATCATATACTCTAAAGCTCTTCACTGAAAGTAAAGTGACTTGGTTACCAAAGGATGGAAATAATGGAAAAATACATGCTTATCATGTGCAAAGAGTACAGGTTTTATTCTGGTTCTGACATTTACGAATTGTATGATCTTGTGTCAATTTTTTATCTTCTTTCAATCTCAGTTTCTCTATGTGAAAAGAAATAGCAATAATTTCTTAAGAGTTCATAGAGGAATTTGTTATTTTTATTAAAAAACAAAAAAATCTATAAATCAAATTTTGATCACTTGAAAAAAATAAAAAGAGTTCATAGAGGAAACAGCCCATGAATTAGAGACCACAAAGATGACTCGGAAAGTCTGGCTAAAAAATTCGGACTTACTGAATAAAAGTCAAATTAGAGAAAGAATAAAGGGAAATACATTCCTGTCAACTAAATGAATGAACCAACATTTATGGAAGTTGTTACTTGAGTTTTCTTTAAGTAATCTTAAAAAAAAACATTTAAGGTTGGTATTATTTTCACTAAATTTACAGATAGGAAAGCTTAGGTGGACTCTTTGCCCTGTTGCTTCCTAAGAGTAATAGTAGACACTGGACAATTGTCTCCAATATGCTTTCAGATACAAGACCATATTTAATCCTCATAATTACCTTTTAAGATTTTATTACAATCATTATTATTTCATTCAATAAGAAATAGAGGCAAAGTAAAGTTAATTTGCCCAGAGTCTTTGTGAGGACAATCCTAAGAATCCAAAGAAGACCAAGGAAGACGTTTTCTGCACAGACTCAGGCAGTGCCTGAGACCCAGGAGGCCTGTGTGTCTCCAAAATGTCAGGGAGCACAGCCCAGCAGCTGAATTCCAGCTTGAATTCCAGGCCCTGTGGCAGACCTTCAGGGAATGTGAATCCAGGAGTGAAGGGTGGGAAGGGACAGATAGGAAGCCCAAAATATGCGTCTTTAACAGGCTCCTCAGTGATCTGTATGCATTGTAAGGTTTGAGAATCAAGCAACTAAAGAAAAGGGAATCAGGAACTGTCACATTCTGCACTTGAAAACCATTCAGTGTCGCTTAATTTGCTTTTAGAATCTAAAGGTGAGAAGGGTATGTGGGCTCTCCATGACGAAGGCTGCAAGGACTCTTCTTACTGTGCTTAACTTCCTCTCCCGGGCGTTTCCTTCCCAGAGTTCTAATCCTCTTGTCGTTATTACCGTGGTGGCCCTTTAGCCTCGAAGTCCTCCCACAACCCTCTCGCGTGCAATGTCCCCGCACAGACCACGACCCCCTGCCCTTGCTCCCACTTCCCTGCCCCTAAGGTTCACTTTCCACACTCTTTTCTCAACGTCGCCCTCCCCACCACCACCGCTGGTCACAGGGGCCCGACTCACCAGACCTCGAACAGACGAGGAGGGAGAGGGGGCTACTGCCCCAACGGTGCATAGGGCGCGCGGCTGGAACAATGGCCGAGCGGACAGATGCCAGCCTTCCGTGCGGGCGGACAGCGCAGAGGCCCTTCCGGGCAGGTCTAGCATTCTGTGTCTCGGAGTCCTGTCCTGCGCCTGCCTCACCCCCCAATTTCCTGGCATCTGGCTCTTTTTAAGCAGCGAATCACAGAACAACGTGGCGGGGGCGCGGCCACACACAAGTTTTAAACAGAAAACATTTATGAAGCATAGACCGTTAACTATTGAAAATGCTGATTTTAAAAACATTTTTAAAATTAATACATTATTCATGGTTAAAAAGGAAACCCTGAGACAATGCCAAAATTAATAAAGTAAAATGTGAAACCCCACCTGTCTCTCTTTAGTTCCACACCCTGAAGCAGCCACTATCACGGTTAGCTTGGAATTTGTATTTATCATTCTGAAATCTCTCTCTCTTCTTCTCCTCCCTCACAAACACACACACTGCATTAAGCTATTCTACATTTAGCTTTATCTCCCCCATTTATTTTAACGTTTTCACTTCATGTATCTTAGACATCGTTACCGGTCATGTTAGTCTAAGTGGCTGCATAATAGTCCATAAAGCACATGTACCACAATTTATTTGTCCAGGCCCCTACATATCCTTTATATAGACGTTTTCCTCCCTCCCTTCCTTCCTCCCTACTGTATTTCCCTCCTCCCTTCCTATTTTTTTGCTATAAAAGCTGTCTTGATTTTTTGCAATAATACAAAATCAATCCAAAACCAATTAAATAAACGTTATTACAAAAGAGCATAATGAGTACTGTCATTCCCAATTTTGTTATGCCAACCAGAATGATCATATTGCATAGCTTAAACTATGTTTTGTTTTGTTTCAACAGAATCTTATTATTTATTTTATTACAGCAGTAAGAAAGTATCTTATGTGTTAATGGAGGTTCCATGATGTGTTTTAATTCCAAAACCTTAGCTCTGTAAATTTCTTTAGTTGCTTTCCTCAGCCCAGCCTTCCAAGGCCATTAGATAAACTCAAGCTTCATGCTGTACCTCAATTTTTTCCAAATATCTAATAAGTATGTAATCATTAAGAGCACCAGCATGAACAAAATTTGCTCAAAATCCTTATAACTTTCTCCAATGTCTCTACAATGACTACTTGGAGACCAAATGAAGTTCACCAAGGGACGTAGGGTGGACACCACCTGAACTTCAGAGAGAGAGGCTCAAAGCAGTGATCACGACCAAAGTCCTCAGAGATATTTATTGAAGTACAATAATAGAGTAGTAGACGGGAATGGAGAAATGAGAGGAAGTTACTCAGAGATTAATAATAGAAAGAAGGAACATGTGAGGCACAAGATGTTGTTTCCTTCTGCTCACAAACTTTTGCTGCTAATTGTGTCTACTTCCATTGCTGTTTTCAGCAAGTACTGTATGCAATACTGATGTCAAAGACTCCGTTATGGCTTTTGTCTCAAGGGGTCTGACCTATAGTCTTCTTCTGGCTCCCCACACTCCAACATACCATGTTCACTTGCAAAGGTCTCATTACAAACTTTCCTAACAAACTATGAAATGAGAGTAAATGTTCAACTTGTCTTTGACTTGAATAGACTGTTTAAATATGTTATTCTCTTACATTTTGGATGCCCGTCTGTGACAAACATATTTATATGAAACTTCTCAAATGTCTCACTGGCGGTTGGTTAGGCTCTCTAACTGGTTTATATATATTCGTTGAGTAGGTCAACGTAGGATTCAGGGAGGTTCCACCCTACAGTTAAGCGGGCAGCACACTGGACTTTGCTGTAGTTAAACAGCTCTGAGAGATACTGGTTTATATCTGTTTGTTTAAGAGAAGATTCCCCTACATTAGTACTTTGATGAGTGTCCTGGGACAGAAGGAATTATTTTTAATTTAGAATTGGGACTCCTTAGTATAAATATTGAAAATGCCAGACCAGCCCAGAGACAAGAAGAAATATTGACTATAAGACAAACTATTAACTATTTCAAACATACATTGAAAATTATTAATAAAAAGATTGGGGATTACCTGAATCTAGAAGCAGGTATATTGGGATACTGACTCTGTTGTGGGTTATGCCATAAGCTAAAAAAAGAAAAAGAAAAAAAGAAAGAAAAAGGTTTGGGAGATTGGTGACAAAGATACTGAGGGAACTGGCTGGTGTGGGAATAGACCTCTTAGAATGGGTACCAAGTATACAAATATTTTCACTAACCCTCTGTGTAAGAGGATTTCAGTAAACAAGTGGGCAAGATGATCTGTTCTATGGATGTCAGCAATTCTCTTTTTGAGCTCTCTCAGGGAACTCTTGAACACAGTGACCATGGCTGCCATGCTAGAGGCTCAAAAAACAAAAAATAAAACAAAAGCCTTTCTTTTGCAAAGATTATCTTGCCGTCATCGTTGTTCAGGATCCAATTTGCAAGAGCCACAACCAATCCTAATCCCCAGATATGGGGTGTAATATCACAGTGGGAACATTCAGCCACCTGATGGCAAATTGATTACATTTGACTCTTCCCATGGTGGAAAGAACAAAACTTTTCTTTAAAGCAATAGATACTTCTTTTAAATTTTGATTGGCTTTCTATGCCTACCATGCTCTGTCAGTCCAACTTGTTGAGAGCCCTACTAACACCAGCCCCAACTTAGTTGGGCATTAAAATGAAATGATTTGTTTTTTCCAGTCCCTACTTTGAACTGGTTCTTGTGGATTCTTCTTTCCATCCCTTAATGATACCTTGAATAGATTCCATAGCTTTCTGGCGATTTTAAGTATTAAAGGTCTCATCCAGTTTATTTTTAATTTTAAATTTTATCATCTATTGAATAAGTTATGTAGCCACAGATTCAAAATGCAAGAGGTATAATAGGGCATACATTGAAAAATCTCTTTCTAATTTTTAAAGTTTTCTTGAGCATGATAATGACATTGTAGTTCTATAGGAAAATGTTCTTATTTTTCAGAGATGAGTACTGAAGTATTCAAGGGTTATGTTATGACGGCTATAATTTACTTAAAATAGTTCAGCAGAGAGAGAGAAAGGCAGGGAAGCAAATATGGCAAAACATGAACAATTATAGAATCTAGCTGATGAATACATGAGTGTTTATTATGTATTATATACATATCATATTATATATAAACCTTTGGGAACAG